TCCACCAACATTTTTCAGCCTTTGTTTGAACAAACGAAGGATTTCGCACGGGGAAACTCAGAAAGCTTAGCGGATTGTTGCTGATGTAAACTACAGTGTGATATGAAAGCGGCGATGATTATCACATAGGCTCGTTCTCGCACGCGCTCTCATGTCTGAAAAGCACAGGTTAGGACAGAGAGAAAGAGAGAGATTCTGCTAATGTGGAATGTTATATCAAGTAATAGGTCTTTGAATAATGTTTTTTTTAGAAAGGTAGAGGAGTTTTAATCATGCAAAGTCTTTAAGCTTCTGGAGGTTTCTCCTTGGTAGGAAAGTGCCTTCTGTGTGGTCGAAACAAAGCTGAAATGTTGGTGGAGAAGAGTTACTATGTTTACCTCAGTAGAAGTTTCTATTTGAGGAAGAAAAGTTGAAGATGAAATGACAGTTCAATCAAGAAACAATGGCGGGTCATATCCATGGGACAACGCTATATATAGCTGTGAACCCATGTACTCGATTGTTCATTACTTGGTCAGATAGGTATGCTCACATTTACGTCACGCATATATAAGTTCAAGAATCAAATATTGCATTATCGCGATTGCATTACAGCTACTATAGGTACGTTGATATATAGGTATTCTGGTGTGGTCATAATGTTCAGTTATTGATGAGGCCAATCCTATGCGAAGAAAGCCACCGCGCATTTTTTACAATATATACTCGTGGTGACATGCATACATACAATTTTTACAAGCATGTCGGTGTTGCTGCACGTGGGGTTCCTGTGTGTAGAGGCTCGCGCGAGTGTGTGGGAGTCTTATGTGGTAGTATAGGCTAGATTAGTAGCATACACTTTTGTTACAAAGAACTCACAGTCTCATTTAATTAATTCTGACGTGGGAATACAGTAGAACTCGCACTCAGTCTCTCAAGATCTAACATGTTGGCTCACACATATACTATCGCACACTGTGTAGTGTCTTTAGAGTGGTAATGATGGAATATAGAGATGCGTTAGTAAGCAATCGCGAGTGCTAGGAGATAAGATTACATATATGAGATTCCATTATCTTCATGTACTTTGCATTGTACTGCGGAGTTAGACACGACATATTGGTGATGGTGTGTGGGCGTGTGAAAAGTTATGTACTATATTAATTCGCGTAGAATATAGATATATTAGGAATTTTTATTTTAGATAGTGAAGTTAAGGTTAAATCGAGTGCCTAGTGTGTGCATTAGAAAGTATATGTCTCAGGAGTGTCTTCTGTGGAGAGCGATCTCAGAATGCGCGAGGCGAGTCGTAAGCTAGTAGTGGCTTAGCCAGGAACAGATAAATGTCAGGTATAGAATATAGATGCGAGCATAATAGATAGGAAAGTTAGATGCTGTTGATGGGTGACTCCGAGCACGAGAAATGTGATGTATGAGAGCCATTAATATATGTGATCGATCGCGCTCTCACAGCACTCCTTAGCACTGTAGTGGCTGAGCAACACGTCAATGATTACATGAGCATTATGCTGAGGATGTTTTTCGAATACCTCGTAGTCACACGCACTCTCTGTTGCTCGCGCAGAGGTTGTTCATGAGAAGTTTCGACAATACTTCTTCAAAAGTGTGTGGTGGGTGGATGTTCGCTGAATAAGTGATATCCCAGTGGAGATATAAGATTTGATATTTGAGTGTTATCTGGTAACAGCAGTGACTTCTCTCTTGGCCAAAACTATGACCTTGGCGGACATTATAGGATTGGAGAAATCTAACCTTCACTTCACTGTACCATTTATTTGGTTTCTTCAATAAGCAACCAGTATTGGAGATCATATTTAACAAATTCAACAAAGTTAATTGGAAGTTGGAAACTTTTCTGAAGCCAAAATTTATAGAAGAAAATCGATTTTGATGAAATTCTTTATCTGAGGATGTTGCTTTGTTTCCAATGCTGTTTGGACAGAGGAAAATATGATGATATGACTTGTTCAGTACAGTTTTTAGCCATTTAAAATTTGGTTTCAATCTTGTTGATAACTACATCTGAATTTCCTGATCGACGACTCCTCCCTCTCTCGTGCGACACACTCATGATCAAAAGCTTTGAATCCCATTCCTCATGCGTCATTGAAGTCAACTTAGTAGTTATCATGTGATATGTATGATGTGTTGCTCTCAGTGAAGTGTATATATGTTGAACGGATATATAGAGCTGGTGTGCTTAAATGGTCAGTGACGCAGTCATCGCAAAGCTGCTTGTGAGATGCGACACGTTATAATATGATTGTCGCATTTAATTATGCTGGAAGATCAGATGGATAGATGTTGAGGTACACTAGTCTCTCTCATCGGGTGTAGCGTATTAGTATTCTGCGAGCTGTTAGAGGGCAAAGTGCGTATTACACACGCTGGAGTAGATTTTGCATGTGTGCGTAGCTCTTTGGTAGATCGGTGGATACTCGCTCGCTTATGAGTGATGCACTACTAAGTAAGAGTGGTTTGGATCGGAGAGGGTGAGCGTGGGAACGGAACCGATAGATGGCTATAGGAGAGTCATCGTAGTAATATTTCATTGGCATGAGTGTTAGACTAACTGTACTGGTATGCATGGTTTTCCTTTGGTGTAAAAAGAAAACAACGAGGTTGAAATGGTGCAATTGTGATTTTTGGAATCGCGTGAGTAAGGGTTTTTTCGATACACATGTTAGTCAGCACTCAGTATAGTGTTGCGACGTCAAATTGGAATAATAGAACTCTATGACGGCGAATTATCCATTTCAGTATTATGTAATGATGTGTGTGTGCTCTCTCTTATGAATATTAGCCAACTCAAGCGGTCTCTCTCTCTCGTGTGGAGAATGAAGATAAGGCCTTTTACAAATATCCAAGTTTTCCAAAAATATAAAATCATCACCAGTAGTTCTGTTAAATATTTCAGTTTTGTCAGATGCCATTGCATTAAAAATTATTTGCCTCCTCTCAGAAAAAATCATCTCTTTGAATCCAGTACCTGTCATGTCTTATCTGTCTCTGCTGTCACACATCCGTGTCACTTTGTAACTGTCTTCTTCGAATTCTCCTTTTAATGTACTTATAGGTAATCTTCTTTTAAACATCTTGTTCCTGGAAATCTACACTAATGTATCATACACTCTCGTTGTTTCTGTTGCACACAATCATTTCAATAGTTCAGATAAGGATTGTTCCAATCTACTCTTAGTACGAGCTTTACATTCTGATGAATTGAACAAACACAGACTGAGTTGACACCTGAAGACCAACGTGACACACCACTTGGGTTCAACATTCAGAATTGTGAGAACCCCATCTTTACTCTGGAAACTTAAGTTTTAAAGACAGCATAAATTCAGTGTCAGAATTCATCAATGATCAGTTCTTTTTGTCGATGTAAACCCCTCGTTGCAATGCATAACTTTCCCTACAACAATGTATTTTCTTTCATCATGGCACTGCCGACTAAACCAAGATGACAAGATTTTGGTGTCAGGGTTAAATGTTATTATATTCTTTTCGAGATGAGGCCCTTATCTTCTAGTGTCATTAGAAAAAAGCAAATCAATCTTTCTTTTGTTCATTTTCGGTTCAGTGTTTATTCCTCTCTGAAGCTTAGATCTCAATTCTAGGCTCGACATATCGCTTTCCATTGTAAATTGCAGATCAGTGTTTTGTTCTGAGACTAGATTGACCTGCAGTTTTCCTTCAGTGGGCACTCTTGAATGAATGCGACAGACGTATGTAATTTTTAAAGGGCTGATGTCTTCTTCAATTAGAATGAATTAAATCTTCTTGTTTCTTCTTCACCATTAAATTTGCTGTTCAAAGTCAATACTTTCATCCGAATGTGGCGAGCTTCTTACATGTCTCAATTCAATCAGATGTTCATTAATATCTTTACTCGCAGCTGGGACAAATTTTCTTGCCTGGAACAATTGATATGTGTTCACTCTCTTGAGTTTGTTTTGCACTTCTAAAGTGCACTCCGACGCATGACCTTTCCTGTTAGCTTCTTTTTCCAAAGGGTTGCAGCATTTTTTTTTGCCAAGGCTGCGAACTTGGTTGTCGTCCTGGCGCTGTGTTGTTACCTAATGGTGGACCATAATATACTAATGATTTCAACAAATTCGTTCGTAATAAGGAGTTCCTTTAATATGCTATCAAGAGTAGCAATTTATTTTAAACCTTTCAACTGATAATGTAAGCTTATGACAGTGGTCCTTCAGAGATACCGAATTGAGCAGGTTTCCTTTGAAGCTCTCATTTTAATTTCAATATTGCAGTGTATAAGAGACTGGCAAAAATTTACCATAGTTGCTGTTTCCACTCTAGAATCTGATTTATGACTTAGCAAGCATGAGTTTTTCAAGTTCAGCAGCTTAATATTTAGGTATATTATCATCATAACAATGACACCTCAGCATCGAAACTTAAACTATGGCCATTGCATCATTTCCATAAAGTTCTAGAAATCTGTTACACATCTAGCCTACTGACCTCTATGCCTTGCTTG